AAGTTTTGGACAATTTCATTTTTGTGCATCTTGGTATGATTTTATTTAAATGTCTTTGCAAAAGGTTCATTTTTCTTGGAAATGTGGTATTATAAGTTGAACTAAATTCAGAAATTTTAAAACTTTTTCAAAAATGCTTGAAACTATAGTTTGAAGCAAGGTACAATTCCCCTATGATGAATGCTATCACTATGTATATATAAAATGTACCAATAAAAAAATTCAAGGAAAAACATTTAATAAATAAATAAAAACAAGAAACAAGAATGAGTACACAGGCAACAAAATGTGAGGAAAAAAAATAGGCAGCGTATAAAGAAACTAGAGCACAGATTCTCAATAATTTCAATATAGTTGTAGCAAATGATTTTTTTCCTAGTTTTTGTTTTTAATTTTATTTAAGATTTTTATGTGTAGATGTTTATAGTTTTACTTAATCGAGTCTATTAATCCATAAATATGGAAATCACCAGAGAAGCAAATATTTTGATACTAGAATGTTTACAACAGTGTAGTTTATAGTATTAGCTATGAAGATATTTAACTGAAGTAATAGGGTGGGGAATGGCTAGCCTATGAACACAATGGAAAACATCAGTTATTATTTTGTTAAATTATAAAATTATTACAATTTAATATTAACGAAACAAGCAAGATAAAACCACAAATATATACTGTGTGTATATATGACACATATATTACCCACAACAAAATAGGAGAAATACATGTCTTAATTTTGCTTTCTCAATACTATAGTGATTAAGAGATTTTTTTATCTTCCTTACTACAATAAAAACTTTAAAGTCAGGAAAATTTTAAGAACAATGATTTTATTAAAATAAATTTAAGTCAAAGAGAAGGTCCGCCTCTACTGCCTCCGCCACGCCTCTGCACTTGTTGAGGACCCTGGCCACCAGAGACGTCTGAGAAGTGTCATGCGCACCAGCTTCTGGTCATGTATTTTTAAATACACACTTCTAAATTCACTTGCAGAGAGGTTTCAAAATAGATTCTGCAGTGGCCAAGGGCAGTCATCAGGACGAGATGATAAATTATAATGAGGTCTTTGGCTGTGACAATACACTCACTTAACAAATATTTACTGAGTACCCATCATGCTCCAGGCTGTTAGGTACCACAGGGTCAAATTAGGTCTCTGGGAACAAATGCCCCAGAGGGTTCTGTGCACTCAGCTCAGGAGGATGCGGTGGAAGGCGGGGCTGGGCAGCAATCCCGCAGCTCGGCCAGGGCGCCCCTCTGGGCCCAGACCCTCCCTGGAGGTGTGGCCGCGAGAAAGGCTGGCTTCACCTCTCTGGCTCCAGCTGCCTCATTTGTAAAACAAGGATAGTTCTGACCCAGTTTGAAGCACTGAATAAGTGTAAAGCATTCAGGGCTTGTTGTCATCTTCCCAGGGCCAGATGGATTCTACATGTTAATAGCAGCACTGCTTCCTTCCTTTGGAACTGTATATTTAGTCTTTAAGAAAAAATAAAGGGTAGGAAATGAGGCTCGGTGATTAAAGGGCTATTTCACTTTTATCTTCCTCGGAATATCCAGATTAACAATTACAGAAACGTATCCCCGTTTTCCAAACCCAGACAAAAGCAAAGGGAATCCAAGTTCAGGGAAAGTTCAGGACCGTTTCCACGGGCAAATCTAGAAATCTAGGTAAGGTGCTGCCAGTTCCGCTGGATAAAATTAACTCTACATTTAAAAAAAAAAAAAAATCTATGAAAAGGTACTCATAGGTTACTCTTTCAGAGAGGGTAATTTTTTTAAAAGCAACATTTAAAAACAAACAAGTTTCATAAAAGTTACCATGTCAAAGAGAAGACTTAGAGACACTGAGAAGATCCCAACCCTGAAGTCCAAAGCAGCCATAACATTCTCTCTCTCATTCTCATTCTCTCTCTCTCTCTCTCTCTCTCTCTCTCTCTCTCTCTCTCTCTCTCT